GGGAATAGGGAATGGGAATCAGAAAAAGTCGTTCCCGCAGGACACTAAAACTCACCCTCTGCGTGGATACACCATATATGGTCTATAATTCTTTTTTGAAACATGTTAAAATTGATGTAATAATACACACATTGATACTACGGATAGTAGAAAAAAGTAAAAGGGCGAGGAAATACAACAAATGGTTCTCAAATAGCTGCAAAATACCAAAAATCACACAAAGACACGAATCTGTTATTTTTCTTTGTCATTTTTTGATAGAAATCATTTTAAAAATACTCCGTCTTTAGTTTTGTTTGACTTTTTCTTCAAATGTAATATCTTTTCTATAAGAATCTAAATGTTTAATTGTCATTCGATTTGGAAAGAATTTCTGAATATCGAGAAAATTTGGGCTCAATGATTGTTCACATGACCAAAGTTCTACGTTCCAAGCATTTGCCAATACTCTCTCTACGGCGTTCGGAAAACTTGTTTGACCACGGTTTCTATTCCCATCGCCAGTAACCAAAATAAGAACTTGTTGTCTATTTGTACTATCCTTATAACTCAGAAGAAGGTCGTAGATTTGAGCATGTAACATATTGTCCACGAATTGTTCCTAGAAAAAAAGGGAAAAGTCATTTTAACATGATAATTGTCTAGAATATGACTCACTTTGTCCTGTGCCGACCGATCTCCCAGTATACATGTATAACCGCAAGATTCCCATTCATCCCAAACACGTGCATTTTTAGGTGGTTTACTGCCACCAACCATACGTGTTTTTATATATATTTGTAACTTATTCGCTTCAAGTACTCTAGCAAGATTCTTAACATTTACACGAATAGCGGGATTTATTTGAATTAATCCAGTTTCTTTATTATGTATTTTTTGAGAACCAATAAACACATTTGAATTATCAATAACAATATGATAGTCTATTGATGTATATGGTTCAGGAATAGGTAGAATCTAAAGAATACATATTTACAAGACACAAAAGAAACAAAAATGAGGTTGTAGAAATAGGTCAAGAGGGTGTGGGTGTGGGGGTGGGTGTGGGTGTGGGTGGGTGTGGGTGGGTGTGGGTGTGGTGTGAATGGATGTGGGTGTGTGATGTGGGTGTGAACATATCTTCCTTTCACCCACCCACCCCACACCCACACCCACACCCACCCACACCCACACCCACAACCACACCCCCACCCCCACACTCACCCACACCCACACCTACACCCCACACCCACCCACATCCACACCCACACCCTATCGAAATTATTACAGTGGGACGGACGAAGAAAATTGACTTTTTACAAATGAATGCTTTTCGTCCGCCACAGTATTAAAATTTCAATAAGAAGAGAAAAAGAACAAAGCGGAAGAATAAAATGAAGAAAGTCAACTGTATGTTTATTCCCATTTAACAACAAAAGTTTCAACTCTGAAGAAGAACATATTATGTTCGGAACTGTCAATTATGATATATTTATTGTTATACATTTATATTTACATTTATGTATTTTATTTTACATTGGTAATTGTAAATTATAATCTATGTAACATATTTAATGAATTAAGCAAGAACAAAATATTTTTAAAATGATCAATACAACCTTCTAAAGCGTAATGAATTTTCATTCTCTCCTTACAACAACAGAAATAGCTGTATTCTGATAAAAGAGAATTAATGGTGTTGTATAAAGTTGAAATAAGGTATTCATAACCTATAAAACTTTATTGAAGCTTGTGTTTATATTGACTGTATTTTCTATTATTCAAACC